CCCAGAGCCTTGCAAAGATGTCTCATTGAGCTCCATTTAGAAGTCTGCGATTGGACAGCCACAGAAAGTCTGGACAGGGTTAGGAGAGATGGGGGTTGCAAAATCTTCAGACAATAGATATGTAGCTTTTGCAAGATTTTTGTTTTTTTTTTTTGCAAAGGAAAAAAAATGTTTTTATTAAGGGTATATTTACTAGTGTGATGAAGAAACGCAACACACTGTTTGGAATTTCATTAGAAACTATAAAGGTTTTGTATTTTAACTCTCCACTTGCAAAACTTGCCATCACTATTTGTAGCTTTGTGAGCTTCTGATATCCAGACTTGGCAAACTGAGGACAGGAGCATTCGTTGTATTAAAGCAACATGTACCAACAATGTAAAAAGTTAAACTGAATGCCTCAACACTTCCAAAGGCAAGCGTCCCAAAGTGCGTCTAAAAAGACATGAGTGGGTTTATGCTATTATAAAGTTATATAATATGCTAATACAGTATTCCCAATGTTAGGGTCTATATGAAAATATATATTTATGTATATATTTTGTTTCCTTGAACATGATTAACCCCTTAAAGACACAGCTTCAGAAGTTAAAGGTCAGAATGACGGAACATTTCCATCATGTCTTCATAACAGGTTAAATCTGCATGATGAATGAACAAATGTCTAACTTTATATCACAATCAGTTGTCCAACTTTGAAGAAAATAATATTTATAAAAACTTCACCCTGCTCATATAAGAAGAAAGTCTACTCAATGAAATTCCCAGATCACAATTAGTAGAAGCATTTATGTGTTTATTATTTTATGTTAAAACATTTTGTATAACATAGCTTGCAGGAAGTACCTGTTCCGTTTATCTTCACCACATTGCTGTTGGAATGAATTCTAAAAACGAACGAGAGGATTCTAAATGGAAACTATTCTGATCTGATGCTAAATAGTGTAAAATAAACAAAACATAAATTAAGTTTCACTTGTAATGTATCTTTAGTAATGCTGTTACCTTTCAGAGCTACTAAGTTACCCCGTACACTTCAAGTTCATGGGTAAATTTGCAGTATGTGATTCGAACTACATTACCTGGGTCTCAGAGACAGATTATTTTTCCCATATATATATATATATATATATATATATATATATATATATACATATATATATATATATACATAATAAAGGTTTTTTTTTCCCCTCTACCTTATGGGAATTCTTAAATCATGTGTATATATAATCAT